GAAATTTTGGATATTCCTGTTCCCGATCTTTTCGGCGAGCTGCAACGCTGTGTCGGACTTATGATATCCAGCGTCGACGTCTGCTCCTGCTTCTACCAACATCTTTACAATATCAAAATGCCCGTGTTCCACAGCAGAATGAAGTGGCGTACGTTCTTCGTTCGTCTCTATGTTTACTTCAGGGCACCCTCCACAAGCATCTTTCTTGAATCGCTCGAGTAGCATGCGGACAACTGAAGATAGCCCCTCAGCTGCTGCGAGATACAGAGGCGTCTCCCCATTCGAGTTTCTCCAGCGTATATTGACATCTTTCTGCAAAAGCCACTCTACGATATGTTGCTGTCTTGTCTCAACTGCAAAATGAAGGGGGGAAATTCCTTGGCCGTGTGAGTTGAGGTCCGCACCCCTTTGGTAGAGCAAGTCTACGATTTCTAAGTTGCCTTTAGAAATAGCCGACGTAAGAGCGGATCCTCCAGTTAAGTTTTTGGCGTTAACTTGAACGCCGCAATCGAGTAGAACCCGGACCATTCCTATGTTTCCCAATAGGCTTGCATAAAATAAAGGGGGTTGTCTTTGCGTTGAACGGTGATTTGGATCCGCACCCCGTTGAATCAAATATCGTGCTACTGCCGGATTCTTAACTCGTGCAGCTAGGATTAAAGCGGTGACCCCGTTGTTGTCTTCATGCTTGATGTTGGCCCCATGGTCAAGTAGCGTTCGTATCGCTTCGACTTGTCCCTCAACAATAGCGCCGAAAAGGGCTGTCCATCGGGATTGCGGCAAAAAAGCATCGACCTTAGCGCCCTTGGCTATCAACAGTTCCATGATCTTGATGTGACCTCTTATACTTGCTGCATACAGGGGTGTATTCCATTCCGATTCAAAGATTTCGACATTCGCGTCCTTGTCAAGGAGATAGGAAGTAATTTCGAGGCTTCCGTGACAAACAGCTAGATGCAGCTCGGTCATATTTGCGTCTTGCGCCGCTTTCTTGTTGCACTAACTGTATAGATCGGTCATTCTAATTTCCCTACTGATACACTGATGTTAGAAGCCGAGTACCTTGATATATAGACACCTACTATGCCTTGTCGGCAGTGCGGTCGTACCTTCGAGACTGCGGCTAATTCATTAATCTAAGTCAGCGCAACTGCCTACCTGCCGTTAAGGCAGTGTTGGCCACAGCCCTAATTTACAGACACTGAGTATAATACTACATATTTCCTTCTGTTTGAACACACAACCTCAATTTAACATCAAAGAATGGAGACATGGATCCCAGTATAACCTACACATCTTTGAACAAAGATAAGCAGCAAATTCGGATCTTATTGCTGCTACCCGGAGCGTTCGACGACCCTATCCGATGCGACTTATCGATCGAATCGACGGACAATAGATTTGAGGCTCTTTCATATGTCTGGGGGGATATGAATGATACATTGCCAATTCAAGTTCAAGACCGAGATACAAAGGTCACCAGAAACTTGGAGGGTGCTTTAAGACGTCTAAGAAGCCAGCATGAAATCCGTCGTCTTTGGGTTGATGCCGTGTGTATCAACCAACGCGATGCTCTCGAGCGCAATCATCAAGTGAGAATGATGGGCACGGTATACGAGAGAGCAGAACGCGTTATAGCATGGCTTGGCCAAGACGAGGGTCCGCTGACCACTATGCGGGTCGTCCAGCACTTCGGCACCGATCCTGATATTCATTGGGATCCGATAAAACATTTCACCAGCAATGACGATGTTAAAACCAAGATTGGTGGTATCTTTGGCCTGATTCCTTGGCTAAGAAACGACTGGTACACACGCATTTGGACGTTACAAGAAGCCAGTCTCGCCAAATCGCTTGTTTACGTCTGCGGATCCTTCATTTTCCAACGCGGGGAGATAGAGAACGTCGTGGAAAGCTTCTATCGCCACTTTGTCTACGATGAATGCTGCGATCTGAAGAACATCACAGGAGAGCACATAATAGGCCTAGGCTTAAACCTAACTTCATCTACGAAAAAAGTATCAGATACGATCAGTCTTCGGAATCGAAGGGGCCGGTTGGGATTTCTGGAAATTGCATCCGGGTCCCGCCATCGTCAGGGTACAAACCCTCGAGACAAAGTCTTTGGAATCTTGGGGCTGGTAGATGACATTCCCAAGGAGATCATCGACTACAGGAAAAGTGTCGCTGACATTTACTTGTTGACAGCCCTTGAATGTATCAAGAGCTCGGGCAACCTAGATGTTCTGACTCACGTGCTACCCAAGCGGAGTATACACGAAAAATCCAAAGCCGGTGACCCGGTGAGCCATCACTTACCTTCTTGGGTACCTGATTGGAATGACCACCGACCAGATGATTTTTTGCGCTTGGATGCTTTAAGGGTTCGGCAGTCATACACAAAACTATTCAACGCCTGTCGCCACAACACTCAAGCTCGTCCAGAGCGCCCATCTCCGACAAGTTTACGCCTACAGGGATACTTTTGCGACCAAATTTCCCAGACTGGCGACACGTTTGTCACCAAGGTGACGATGCATGTAGAATATTTTCTAGACTGGCGTAAGATGGTCAAGGCCGACGAGGAGCCGGAACGGCCTTACATATCCGGGTCGACTATCATGGACGCCTTCTGGCGAACCATATGTCTGAACACCTCCATCACAGGCGAAAAAGCCGACGTGAATACCAGACGTATTCACGATATCTGGTGGTGGAAAGTCCTGTTGGAGACCAAGTACGCGCATATACGCAAACAAGCAAGAATACCCGACAAACCCGCCCTCAGGCTGTTTGGCAGCCATGCCTGCCAAGTATCCTACGGCCGGAAGTTGTTCATATCGAAGAAAGGCTATATCGGGTTGGCACCTGAAGGTGCGCAAGAGGGCGACGAGATATGGGTGCTTGACGGCGGTAGGCTGCCTCTGATATTGCGGCGCCTGGACACGAAGCCGGGAGATACCTCTGAGCCCAAGTACACCTTCGTTGGGGGTTCATACGTCCATGGTATTATGGAAGGAGAATTCGTTGAAGCTTCGATGAAAAAGGGGGAGCTGCCAAGACCTGTTGTGCTCGTTTAGTCTCGTGGGAGGTAGTCTGGGCGTTTGATCTCTACGATGGTTATCAAATTAGTTTTCTTGTCTAGTCACTGTATGTTTGCTGTATTCAATTTCTCACCTGATTCTCTCTTCTTTAGCTTGTTTGCTCGATTTTTCATCCCATGATAGGTATGTTTCCTAGGTGCCCAGATATTCACTAAATTTTCGGCCGGGCCAGAAGATGCACAGTATGTCACTGTTCCACGGCTATTTTTGCATTTATTCCCAGCCATTGATTGCTGTTGAGATGTCTTCTCTTTTAGGTAACTTTTTTGGTACCTCTACTCCTATCATCGTATTCTGTAGTTGGCTTCTAACTAGAGGTAAACGGATGATCATGTCTCAGGTAGGCGCTTTCCCGATCGTGCCACACATGGCTAGCTTTATAGCTAGGACTTCTATAGCCTATCTCATCGCCCTTGTGCTGGTTGGGTTGCGCATCTACAGCCGTATTCTCACCAAGGCTGGGCTTGGTTGGGATGATAGCTTCATCATAACGTCAACGGCCTCCGCCTTGGTTCTCTTGGGGATGGAAGCTCTCTGTAAGTAATCCATAGCACAGCCGTTTCATAGAAGGCATTCGCTAATACTCTTGCCCCTACTCTAGTATGTACTATAGGAATTGGTTACTCTATGGCCGAGGTAGGCGACAACAAGGAGCTGTTGATACAGGTATGTCTATCGCATTCTCAAGTTAATCCACAAATGCACCTTTTATCCGCTAACGATTCGACCTATAGCTTCTCACGGTCAGCAACCTCGTATTCGTCATCACGACTCTCACGTACAAGCTCGGCATCCTATGCTTCTACTTGCGAGTATTTACGCAAGGCCGTAAGTTGCGCATAGCGATTAAATTCGTCATCGGATTCTTCATTGTATGGGCTCTAGTCAGCATCATCGACCTCTTCGTAGTATGCCACCCAGACCTAGGGGGTCCAGACAGCGACTCTTGCGACCGAGGTTCCGTCTTCAGGGATTCGTCGGCATTGTGCATCTTCGGGGACATGGCAGCTCTTGCGCTTCCGCTGCCAGCCATTTGGAAGCTTCAGGCCAGCCGACGGACCAAGATCAAGATCACCGTGCTGTTCCATCTTGGTGTTCTGTATGTACCCTCTCCTATCACCTCCCCTATCGTTTAGGGAGGTATCCTATAGATGCTGAGGAGATCGCATGGCTAATAAAACATTTATTTAGGGTTACGCTCGTTGCGATTCTTCGAATGAGGTCCATAATCCATACAAACTTCAAGGATACGGAAGTCGGAATCATAACCCAAGACTCCGTTGGGTACGCGGGCCTCGAACCGGTCGTGGGGATCATCTGCGCGTGTCTGCCCATGGTACACAATCTCTTCGTGGAGCGGTATAACGATCTCGTCCAGTGGGCGAAGCCTAGGTCAGCATGGCCGTGGAGGAAGGACCAGAAGGAAAATGCTGGTGATGAAGACACATCAATAGCGGACGAAGAGTTTGGTTATAAATGGTCTGTTACATCTGGAGGAAAGACTGTAACTGCAGGTCGAACTCTTCGGGTCCCCTGGTATTTTACGACTGCAGGCCAGGTCCCCAAGAAGTAGACGAACTGGGGCAATATTGATATTTCCCTTATAAAGTAACCGAAATTTGATTTCCTATAACGACTTGAGGATCCCTTGAAGGCTCCGTTATGGAGGTGTTAAGCCCACATAGGGTCGCACTGATAGGCACTGAGTCTGGACAAAGAAGTGTGATGATACCCCTTTTCAAGTTGTTGATTAAAGAGGAGATTCACTTATGGCGGGGCATCTTTGTAAACGACATCGATATTTGCTCGACGAAGACGTAGGTAGGACTGCACGGCACCAAGCCGAACGGCAGCATAGGTATGCTTATGCACGCTTTTGTTAAATAAGTTGAGTAGGGTGTCGTAGCCAAGTGGTAAAGGCGCTGCATCTGAACCTGCCTTAGGTAGGTTTATCGTGAATGTTGCAGTGGAGTAATCCTCGTGGGTTCGAATCCCACCGATACCACTTCCACGTTCAGGGCGAGCGGAATCTTCGCGTCGCCATGGACATGGAACTTTTTATGCCACTTTTAGTTCTGGCTCTTTAATCTCTCCCCCATAATAGACTTGGGCTCACTTACACTAGATGATTAAGAAATCCATCAGGTAGGTGGGTATACTATTCTTGCGATACGGCCCAACCTGCCCTCGTTTGAATGAAGTCGACAATATCGTCTATTTCCTCTGGTATTTTATACCAGTGTCCCTGATTTTGGTACAGATTCCACGCAACCTCATATCCAGCAGCTCGTAGAGTTCGAGCGGCGGCTTCACCAAGTTTATAGGGTACTTTCTCATCTACATCGCCATGGCCGAGGAATATCGGGGTAGCTTGTGCTGTATTGCTTCTTGTCGGGCTTGATACGGGTGGGAGGGAGAGGAGATCCCGCTCGAAGATAAGAGTTTTGAAAGCTGGGTCCTTAGCCTTTGACTTGGACTCGTCGTCAGTATCTGAATTGGCGAAAGGGTCATACTCGTCCTTCTCTGTTTCTTCATCTATAATGGCTTCATCAAGATCGGCCTGGAACGGCAAGTATCCGCACATCCCAATAAACCCACCTAGAGGATAGCCAAGAGCAAGCAACATAGAAAGAGACATGGCAAACCCTTGACTTAATCCGCCGAGTATTACATTCCGAGGTGGCACCTTTGAAGTTTCTTGTCGTATGAGTTCCTCAAGCTCCGCACCAGACTTTGCCAATCCTTGCAGTTGGGTATGCCTCCGATATACATCGTTGTGCTTTGAGTATTCGTCATAACTACTGCAACCCCGACTAACACCTATAACAGGGGCGACACTTGAGCCTTGAAATAAAGGATTTCGAAGCTAGAAAAAAGATGAAGGAAAAATAAAGCTGATTGAGCCTTTGAGGAAGGTCATGAACGCTTGAAATTCAATTTAATTGGAGAAATAAACATACTATTTGATGTCAAATAGTAATGAAATCCTTCAGCATCTCGACCTGTTGGTTTGGACGAAGGTCTATCACAAAATAGGAATAGCCATGGCAATACTCCCATTATAAGAATAATGGCAACTTAATTGCATTAACCAACAATTATAAGCTAATAGCCCCTTTTTGGCGGGCGTCGTCATAATGTTCCTAGTATAATACTCGAAACCCTCATCTCAATCAAGGACCAGCGTATGACAACGGCGGGATTGACGACGGTACACTGAGGCGCAAGCCAGAAGAAGTCGGAACGTCGGCACAGGTCTGAGTACAATAATTATTGTGTTAAAGGTTAAGAATAGAAAATAGAGTGAAATAATTAGTAGATGTAATATAAGAAGCCTGCAAGGAATCGAAGAAGCGAAAACTCGTCGTATGAAAGAAGTAGCCGTAGCCGAATCGGGTTACAAAATTTCCAAGAACAGCAAGGAGTTTGCAGATCGTCAGCGTTGGACTTGATGTCTCATCTTTGATCTCTGTTACGCGCCGCTTCAGCTTCGCTAGGCATTATTAGCTGCCAGCCCTACCACTTATGTTCTAAGAATCTCCACTGATTTTTTTTCGATGGGGTCAGATAGGATGCCTTTTAATTACCTAGGCCAAGCTTTTACTTACTCATGCATCTTCTATCTAGCTGTCTAGGTACTATCTAATGACTTATACGAATTTTTTACATACCCATGATTTGATGATTCCGTTTGTAAATAGTCTTCTTGGAGGGCGAGAGACGGGCGGGAATGGATCAGCAGCCAACAACCAACGCCTATGCCTCGGCTAAGGAGCAGCCACAACAATCACAGCACCAACAGCAGCAGCAGCAGGCCAAACCGCTTAGCTGCACCAATTGCCGGGCCCGGAAGTTGAAGTGCAGCCGCGAATACCCGTGTCCTCATTGCGTGCGTTCCGGTGCCGAGTGCATCTTCCCCACCCGCAAACGCATCCGCAAGCCACGGCGGAATAAAAACTCCGAACTCCTGCAGCGTCTGAGTCGACTGGAGACTATCGTGGGTAACGTTGGCCTCTCAGGTCTGATCGGAGAAGATGATTCCTCGTCGGCGCTTGGTCCGTCTACGGCCCCAGGTGCTCCAGGTCCTGTGATCCATCCCGCTTTGGACGGTGCATTGAAGCAAGCTCCAGCCCCCGGTGGTGAGAGACAAGATGTACCGGGAGGGGCGTTACCGGAAAGCAAAGCCTCACGTTATCTCGGTGGAGAGTTCTGGACAAGCCTATCTGTTGAAGTCGAGGGCTTGAGGCAAGCCTTAGAACAATCGACAGATTCAGATTCAGACGAGCCATCGCAGGAGGCTTCGCCAGAATCTGCGGCAAATGTCACAAGTCCCAGTACCGTATCTGCCGCGTCACCTGGGATGCTCCTAGGAGGAACACCTCGTGGTGCTGGCTATGAACACTTCGAACACCCGACCTCAGACCAGATTCGGTTTCTATCGTCGACATTCTTCACCAATGTGGACATGATCCTGAAGATTCTACATAGGCCAACCGTGCAAGCAGCCCTGGAAGCTCTCGCAAGCGGTCCTGATTCCACACGGTCTCAGCTCCCTCCCGGGAGAGAAGCTCTATTCTTTTCAGTATATCATGCAGCCGTAGCCAGCCTGTCAGCCTCTGATTGTCTCACGCATTTAGGCCGACGCCGCGAGGATTTACTCCGCACCTACGCGGCAGCTGTCGAGCACATGCTTTTCCGTGCCGACTACCTTAACAATACCACTATCGAGATTCTCCAAGCCCTTACACTCTACGTAGCCTGCGTGCGCACCAGCAATGGATCGCGTGCATCGTGGGCCCTGATATCCTTACCCGTGCGTCTAGCTCACGGCCTCAACCTACACCGCGAGGGTAGCAATGCACATCTCTCCCCATACGAGACAGAATTGCGGCGCCGCCTCTGGTGGCAGCTCCTCGTGCTCGACATCCGAGCCTCGGAGGATCGAGGAACTACCACCATTGTGGCGCGAGATAGCTACGACACTCGGCTACCGCTCAATATCAACGACGAGGATTTCGGGCCGGATAGCCCGGGTCCATTAGTCGAGAAGGAGGGTCCGACAGATGTCACATTCAGCTTGTGCACAGCGCAAGCCTCGAATATCTTCCTGTACGTCGAGCACGCGCAGGGCACTCTTGGCACAGACGACAGCAATGACGGAGGAGACCCATCGCAGACGGTCGACCAGATAGTTCGATATGCACAGTCCCTCGAGTCGCAGTTTGTAGCTGGCGCGGACCCGAACCACGCGCCTTCGTACTTCGCCTCCATGATGGCGCATCTTATCACCCTTAAGATGTGGCTTTCCATGCAGTACCCAGTACATCCACGTCAGCGCAACGCGGTGCGCTCTGCCTGTCTGCAAGAAGCACGACCAGGTCCAGGTTCAGGGACTAGCGCAGCAGCAGCGGGAGGTAATGGGAACGGCATATTCCCACCCGACGCCACCCTGCGCACAGCCCTCTCCATCGTCGAGTTGAACGAGCACCTCAGCACCGGGCCGTACGGCGAGCGGTTCCGCTGGTGGGCTGATACATACGTGCAATGGCACCCCTTGGCCGTGGCGATGGCGGAGCTCTGCACGCAGACAAGAGGCGAGCTCGTGGATCGCGCGTGGCGTACCATCGACGACATATTTCCGCGATGGAGCGAGGTCATCGCGGATACCAAGAGCGGGACGTTGTGGCGACCTATTCGTAAGCTATACAAGAAAGCCAAGGCAGCCCGGGCCGTTACTACTACTGCTGCTGCTACTGCTCCTCCTCTTCCTACTACTTCAACCTCAAGCTTGAATCCTACTACTATAACCAATTCTACTCCCACCATCCCCATAATCTCTACCCCAATCCTTGACATCCCACCCCCTACCAACACCATAACCAACACCACAAACCGACCCCCAACAACCCGCGTAACACAACACATCCTCACGAAAGAAGGCGTCGACTTCGGCACCATCGACATGCGAACAAACATAGGCCACATCGAGTCCACCATCAGCCCCAACCCCACCATGCAACCCGAACTTGAACCCGAAAGCACCTTCGGCACCGAAATCATCCACCACCAGCAGACGCCAGAACCCGACATCCCGGCTGACCTGGACAAACTCAGCATGTCGCCGTACGGACTGACGGAGTCGATGTGGGGATGGCGAGATCTAAGCCTGGACGCGATTCCGTTCATGGGCCTGCACGACGGAAACAACAGCGCGATGGACTGGACGGCTTGGGATGACTTTGTCAACGAGACGCAGGCGGAGCCCGACCCGCGGTCCAAGTTGTTGTCCAGCGAGATGGAAATGTAAGTTAATTTGTGGCGGATATACATACCTGTATACCATTGCACGTCACGAATGCCATGTATTGTAAATTAGCTCGCATCGGATATGCACGGCTCTGCTTACTCTTCAAGGTATTACGACCCTTGAACTGTATACTACTCGTATATATATATATATATATATATATATAAAACACCACTTATGTAGCATATCAAAATCAAGCAAGCAAAAAGAAGAAGAGTACGAAAGTCATTTGTTCATTGTTCATCTGTGGTATGCATTTGGTGAGGTCCCTATCTTCTTCTTCTGCTTATGTCGAGGAAGCACAGCATACACATCATGCGAGAGTCATGGGGTTTGGGTTTTTTTTTGTTTAAAAAAAAGATGTTGTTTTTTTCCGCAATTCCGTAATGAACACCGGCAAACCCGATTGAGATTCCCAAATTTCCCTTCCTCCTTCCCCCTGACTGATTGATTGATAGGATTTGATTAACACCAGAAGAGAAACCACCACAAATCCGTTAGATTTACGCAAAGGTGGAAGGTCGGGTGGCGCTGAACACCTTCTTGTTGCTGATCTTGGGGAGACGGTGAGGGAGAGGGAAGGTGAGGTTCTTGGAGATGAGCTGTCGGATGTAGGGTCGCTTGACGTCCTCGGACTTCTCGACCTCGACGACGCGGAGGATCTGCAATTATTAGTTGAGGTTGTGCATAGACGGGCA